TCGGAGTCCCATTGGTACCTTATTTCCGTTTCTACCAACTGTTGTACTAGTTCAGACATTTCTCTGCCTTCGATCCTTACCTTTTCCATCGTGAAAACACACCTTCTATACCATAAAACCCATAGCATGGCTTTTCTACCAATGCTGTACAAGTTCTGCTGAAAATTCGTTAAGGAAATGAGGGCAGGGCACCAGTGACCCAAGAGGATCCTCCTCCAGTCCCACGGACAATCGAGACCTGTCAGTTTCTTCCATACATAGCCCCAGCGTCTCCACCACAATTTTGCCCCCGGACATTGTAAGAAGATGTGTCCAATCGTTTCCCTTATCTTCCTACTGGGAAACGCTTCCACCCACACCTCGCACCACGGTAGGGCAACCGCCCTCTGTTCAAGCGTGGAATGATCAATCAACCAGTCATTCGTTGGTAGACAACGTTGGGCGATCTGCCACTGTAGTGACGCAAACTAAGCCGGCGATATGAAGCTTTAACTGATATGAAGCTTAATCGGTCTGAGCAGATCCATATAGACATTCAGATGTCGAGCCCATCGTTCCTGTATAACAGCAAGAACATCTACTCGGGGGCGTAACAGGCGATATGAAGCTTTAACTGATAAAGACTGTAACTTCTGAGCTTTGCATCTCTTATTGGCCCGCCAGATCCACTCCGCAGGGTCCAAAGGGAGATCTGGTATTAGGATATTCGGGGCAAAAACCGTCCATCCTTTGGAAATTGGACAATACATCGTCCTTACTCTATACAGTGAGTTAAAATAAAAGAAAACCACTTTATCTTGATTGTGTTGTGATAGGGAGAAATCCTTGTGGAGTGCAAAGAGGTTTATTAGGGCACCATCCGTATGAATATCCAGTATCTGCCCTACTACCCTGGAACCTTCCGTCAGATGCACACACACCCAGTCCCCAACCAAAAAAGTAGGCCCCTTTTTCAAGGTAGCCAACCAGGCCAACGGGACGGATGAAATGATAAGCTGAAGATTCTCTTCTAAATTATGTGCGTACTTGAGTTCCTTTCTTAGCCGACTTACCGATTTCCAGCTTTTGCTTTCTGAATTCCACAAATCCTTGATCCTAATTATACCGTATTTAACCCAAGTGGAGCTTATAAATACCCTTCCTTGTGCATCAGTGATCCATCTATTGCCAAAACTTGGTTGCCGAAGCACTTCTTCATACCTAGAAGGGGGTGATTTGTTAGGTAAGGGCAGTTTACGCCACGTTTTCAATAGGGTCACCCAGAAACGGTCCAGAACCAGATCTCTTCTTACTTCACCCCCTTCGCCATCTTTTTGAGAGTGTGCTTTAGGCCGAGGAATAGTCCAATACCTATCCTCTACCCAAGTTAGTGGGTTTACATCCTTTGTGGTTTGTGGAGCCAATCTATGTATTTGTTCCAGTGCCAATGATTGCCATGGTAGATCTGTGGCCAATATTAGTCTCTTTAACCATTGAAGAGCTAGTGCTTGACATTGGATTATTGGGTCCAAGATGCCTAAACCTCCATTGGCCTTTGGCTGTACGAGGACCTGCCATGCCACTCTGGAGATTACATGAGGTGTTTCGTGCTTACCTCGCCAAAGAAAGGCCGTGAGCTGCCCCCGGAGCTCCTTAGCTGGGCCATATCGGTCTGTGTGTGTGTGTGTAGGATGAGCAAAATCGGAATGAATATTCAGCCAGAACATGGAAATATACACTGCCACTTTGTTTCTGTTTTTTGTTCTTTTTTTTTTTTTTTTGTGTGTGTGTGAGTGTGTGCGCGCGCGCGCGCGCGCGCGCGCGCGAGAGAGAGAGAGAGAGAGAGAGAGAGAGAGAGAGAGAGAGAGAGAGAACAGGTAAGTCTGCCACCTTGCGGCCGGCCTCATGCTACTTCCATCGATAGGATGAGCAAAATCAAATGAATCTACCGCTAAAACACGGAAATATACACTGCCACACTTGTTTTTCTTTTTTGTTTGCTTTTTTTTTTTTTTTTTTTTTTT